AAAAAATATAAAAAATGAATCAAAGGGTTGGTTCTTTGAAAGATTAAACAAAATAAACCAACCCTTAATGATTCTTACCAAAATAAAGAAAATCATGCAATTAGAAATGAAAAATTACGGGGACCACCTGCTTAGGCCCTCCTTTGTGTCCTCTCGGACAGGAGCTTTCTTTCCCTCAATAAATATATTCTGCTCATAAAGAAAGAAAAGAAATGAAAAATGAGGTCAGCCTGATAGCTCAGCAGACTAAAGCGCCTGCTTAGGCAGAGCGCGGGGTCCAGGGTTCAATGCCCGCCCAGGTTGGTGATTGAGACTGGGTGTGGTGGCACTCACCTGTAATCCCAGCACTTGGGAGGCTAAAAACAGGAAGATCAGTACGAGTATGATCTATGTAGTGAGACCCTATAGACCCTGACCTAAGTACAAAAAAAAAAAAAAAAAAAAAAAAAAAAAAATGTAAGATGTAAAATCACACCAGATTCTTCCAGTATCCTGAAGATCATCAGTAGCTACATTGTGAACCTATACCTGTAATGAAATAGAAAATTCACAATAAGTAGATAAGTTTCTAGATACATGTGAACTACCAGAGCTGAACCAAGCAGGTACAAAATTCCTGAACAATCCAATAGCAGTCAGTGAAGTTTAGAGAGTAATTTAGAAAAGCTACCAGCTGTCAGCTCAAGTCCTGATGGATTCACTGCACAGTTCTGCAAAGAACTTCAGAAGAGATCTAATACCAGTACTCCTCAAACTCATTTTAAAACTGAAAGGGAAGCAATGAAAGCAAGGATTAGCCTGATTCTAAAACCCTACAAAAAAAGAGAGCTATAGGCCAATCTGTTTAATGAGCATAGACATAAAAATCCTCAGTAAGATACTGGCAGACGGAATGCAGTACTTTATCAAAAAGATGGTACATCTTGACCAAGTAGCTAAATATTGAGTTTCTCTTATATGAGAAATGCAGTGTACAGATAAAGTACAGAATAAAGACACCAGGGAAAAAGAGAAAACAAAGTTGCTGTAGTCCAGCCATGGATAAATGTATCTAAAAGTGTACTTTGATTTGGTGTGACTGTCTTAGGTGTTTTATTTGTTTGTTTGGTTTATTAGTCTGATGGTTAAACTTGTATAATAAATGACTAAAAGGACATAAGATAAATGAATCAGATTCTGACAAATAAAAGCGGGAGTAGAGGGGGAAGGGAAAACAATTGAAAAATAAAATGAAATAAAATACAATAAGAAAAATTGTTTCCCCCCAAAAAAGATTTAAAATTAATGAATGCTTCAAATATTCAGTACTTGATTGCAAGACTAATTACTGTTGATAACATTTTTTAAGTAACATCTTCATGATTTTTACTTCAAGTTATTTTTAGTCTTTGTTAGATCACTCTCCCTTGATTCAGGGAGCATGGAAATACAGCGCTCCAAGATCCAGACCGTATCAGGAGTTGGTTTATTTTCCACACCCATTTTAATGGTTTTCAAATGAAAGCAAATCACAAAGGGAAATTGAAACCATAACCACTTCTGTAACACTTTTTTCTTCGGGATACCTCAACTAAAAGGAATGCACAACAACAAAACACATTTAAGCTTCAAGTTATATGAGTCATCACACAATATTTGTATAATTTCAAAACATTTATAAGCTAAATTGAACTGGGATAATTTGTGAGCAATGTTCTGACCTCTTGCATTTCCAGGGCTTACGTGGCTCAGTAGCTCAGAGGCATTTTTTACATGGATGGTGCTACTTTGATTTTGTGACCTCTCAAGCCCATTCTGTGCCACACCAAGCATAATCACACTCTTTATTCAAAAGGCAGAGTGAGTAAAGATAGAATTAGAAGTGAATGAAGACACAAAGGCGTTTTATGACAAAATAGCCAAATTAGGAGGCATTTACTCCAAAATACTGTGGTTTTGTCCTGACTTTAGCAGTGCATATAATCAAATTGGAAAGATACAGAGAAGATCAGTATAGCTCCTGTGCAAAATACTGTGGTTTCCTAGGCAGGTCTTACTTAACCAAACTGATATTGGTAAGAGCTTCACTGTTAAAATCGAAACAGCAAAAACTCCTTTGACTCTCCTAAAGACACTTAACCTGATCCTGCCATCTCTTCTCTAATTGTTCTGGCTAGTTTCAAGGACTACATTGAATAAGAGTGGAGATGGTGAACGTCCTTATCTTGTTCCTGATTTTAGAGAGAAAACTTTCAAATTTTGTCTGTTTAGTATGATATTGACTATTGGTTTATCATAGATGGCTTTTATCAGTTGAAATAAGGCCATCCATTCCACTTTACTGCAGATTTTTTATCATGCCTGGGTGCTGGACTTCATCAAAAGCTTTTTCCGCTTCTATTGCAATGAGCAT